TATGGCGGGCCTATTGCTATTCAAGTTTACGGACCGTTGGGTTATGTTGGGATATCAGCATTGCGTATTATAACACGCAGAGAACGTCCGAGCGAGCTCAACCTTTGCTGCTTTGCCTATAGCCACCACACTACCAAAGGTTAGCTGACGGAGAATGCTCTTTCTATCTATGTATGTGTATCTAGTGTAATATTGTCGTAAATATAAGAAATCATTATTCAATATTTTGTATTTAAATTACTGATATTTTAATCTAAATATTAAAATTGGCTGTTATATACAGAGGCATTTGACCTCGTATCTTGAACTTTAACGGACTTCGTATGGTGGATCGCGTCAAAGTGTATATTTATTTTTTGTTAATAAAGATTTAATAAATTTATTAATCCTTTAAGACCTCAAATTGTTATAATAAATTTTCGTTGACGATGTTTGTTTTAATGTTGTTGTTTTCTGAACGGATTCTGTTCAAAGCGTTACTTAAAACTATTGTAAGGTTACTATTATAAAAAAAATGTTTATTAAAATCCCACAAAAACTTTGAAATTGATATAAATATACATGTTGTTGTTTTAGTGGCATTTTGCTACAATAAAGACGGAAAGCGCATAGCGGTTGTCGACGGTTACACATTCTACTCTTCTGATAACTATGCCTCCGCCCGGGGCGGGTTGTGGAGGTGTACCAAAGGGTATCCATGTAAAGCCCGTTTCAAGGCATTGTGGTCTGGAGAAATGTTAAGGGTGATGTCACTGGAACATTCGCATGAACCGCCAACCATTGCAATCCATAACGGAATTTTAGTCAGATTGACAAGGAAGTCTTATTTATAAGTCTTTTTATCATAATTATTGAGTTTTTTTAAGCTCATAATTAATATAATCAGGACGTTAATATTTTGAAAATAAAGACAACGTTGGTTGATTTTCATTCTTATGTTATTGTTGTAAAATACTACTACTAGTTTCAAAACCACTACTGACAATATTGTTGAATCAACTCAATTTTGTAGTTTCAACGGATACTAAATAATATTATTTTTTTTTATGTTAGTAATTGAAAATATAACTTATATTAATAAAATTCATTAAGCACAAACAAAAAACCGGCCAAGAGCGTGTCGGGCCACGCTCAGAGTAGGGTTCCGTAGTTTCCCGTCCGTCACAATAAGTGTTCCCACTTATGAGTTTAAAGGTGGGTATCCATTATATTCGCGCTCCAGCAGTGCTCCGCGCTCCTGCAATTGCTCCCGGTAGTGGGTACTGTTGTTTCCGTCAAAGTTCAAAATGATTTTCCTAGAAATCCTTATAAAGTTCTACTTTTCAGATTTTTTTTCATATTTTCTAAACTTATGGTTCAAAAGTTAGAGGAGGGGGGACACACATTGTTTTTTAATTTTGGAGCGATTATTTCCGAAATTATTGACATTATCAAAAATGATTTTAGTAAACCCCTATTCATTTTTAAATACCTTTCCGAAAATATATCACACGTTAGGGTTGAAATTAAAAAAAATCACTACCCACTTTACATACAGGGGGGCTACCCTAATAAAATATTTTTTTCCAATTTTCATTTTACCACTTTGTCGGCATGATTGATACACATATTGGTACCAAACAGCTTTCTAGTGCTAACGGTCACAGAGATTAAGCGAGGACGGACAGACGGACAGACAGACATGGCGAAACTATAAGGGTTCCTAGTTGACTACGGAACCCTAAAAAGGCAGTCTGTCACAAGAACTGACGACAGAAGAGAAAACTCAATGATAAATATGCGCACATAATATGTATACAGGTTGCTGTACTGCGACCGACAGTACACATGCTCGCGTTGCTTTTGTTCGCAGTATGTCACGAGCATGTCGAGGTCATCAGTGACGGGAACCTGTAAGTTTTTCCCCTACCAAAAGTCGCTCAACGCGCTTCACTTCTAAATTCATATCTCAAGTTCTTCTTGTATGATTTTGTTGTTACAAATGGACCAAATCGCTTCTATATGTAATTTTTATGTTAAAAATATAAAAGTTATATTAAATTAAAAAAATCTATCTTCCCATATCTTCATGTGGATTATGAAAACAGTCGCGTGTGAGAAATACTAGAAAGAGTTCTGGCCTGATGAATGAAGGTGATAGATTTTTGCGTTATACCGCCACTTAAGGAGGTCCGGTCAGGAGGGAGGTCAAATATCATCATCATCACTACAACCCTTCACAAGCACACTGCTGAATATATGTTGCCCCCAAGGAATACCACAAATCACGGTCCTGAATTGCTGAGCTACTCGCCTTGATCGACTTCTTGCTTGTCTTACCTAGTCGTTATTCGAACTAGTGAGTAACCGCCTTACACTTCGCTAAAGCGTAGAAGGCCTCTGGCTATACCTCTAGAACCTTTCTTTCCCATCAGTTGTAGGGTCGTTGAACTAGTATATGGCGGGCCTATTGCTATTCAAGTTTACGGACCGTTGGGTTATGTTGGGATATCAGCGTTGCGTATTCTAACACGCAGAGAACCTCTGAGCGAGCTTAAACTTTGCTGCTCTGCCTATAGCGACCACACTACCAAAAGTTACCTGACAGATAATGCCCTTTCTATCTATGTATGTGTATCTAGTGTAATATTGTCGTAAATATAAGAAATCATTATTCAATATTTTGTATTTAAAGTATTGATATTTTAATCTAAATATTAAAATTGGCTGTTATATACCGAGGCATTTGACCTCGTATCTTGAACTTTAACGGACTTTGTATGGTGGATCGCGTCAAAGTGTATATTTATTTTTTGTTAATAAAGATCTAATCAATTTATTAATCCTTCAAGACCTCAAATTGTTGTAATAAATTTTCGTTGACTATGTTTGTTTTAATGTTTTTGTTTTCTGAACGGATTCTGTTCAAAGCGTTACTTAAAACTATTGTAAGGTTAACAATATAAAAAAATGTTTATTAAAATTCTACAAAAACTTTGAAATTGATTTAAATATACATGTTGTTTCAGTGGCATTTTTCCACAATAAAGACGGGAAGCGCATAGCGGTTATCGACGGGTACACTTTCTACTCTTCTGATAGATATGCCTCCGCCCGGGGCGGGATGTGGAGGTGTACCAAAGGGTATCCATGTAAAGCCCGTTTCAAGGCATTGTGGTCTGGAGAAATGTTAAGGGTGACGTCACTGGAACATTCGCATGAACCGCCAACCATTGCAATTCATAACGGAATTTTAGTCAGAGTGTCAAGGAAGTCTTATTTATAAGTCTTTTTATCATAAAGACAACGTTGGTTGATTTTCATTCTTATGTGATTGTTGTAAAATACTACTACTAGTTTCAAAACCACTACTGACAATATTGTTGAATCAACTCAATTTTGTAGTTTCAACGGATACTAAATATTATTTTTTTATGTTAGTAATTGAAAATATTACTTATTTTAATAAAATTCATTATGCACAAACAAAAAAAGCAGTCATAAGAACTGAAGACAGAAAAGAAAACTCAATGATAAATATGCGCACATAATATACAGGTTGCTGTACTGCGACCGACTGTACACATGCTCGCGTTGCGTTTGTGCACAGTATGTCGCGAGCATGTCGAGGTCATCGGTGACGCGTACCCGACATACGTAACGATTTATCGTAGCGATTTCAGACTGTGCAGATAAATCGAACGTTCCTAGTGCCTCCACACGCCTCCGATATCGACGTCGATCGGGCAGTTCTCCGCAGAAGCTCGCGCAAGGTACATGTTAACAATGGAAGATTATGACGCACTTGCTATGTTAGGCCTGGTTATGTGTTTAAAGAAAAAAAAGAAGCGGAGTCTATGGTGTAAAGACTGGCTTATGAAAAGGAAGCAATTTTCTCATACATATTACCACTTACCAATCATCCCATATTCGATGTAGATGGTCTCGGTACTTCTTGATCGTATAAAAAACTCAATAACTCAAAGTACCATAAACGAGGATTATAAATTTCGTCAGTCCCAGCTCAGATTTCATTTCATGCTCCAGATTTACACGATTTTTTTTTTATTTTATTGAGCTCTTTTTTATATGTAGTTCGAAGATTATTAATCTTCTTAACCACTGTATCCCTGGTGGCATTTGGATCTATGGGTTTGTATTTTTCGATTAGCCTGTCGTAGGCGGCATTTTTTTGTTGCGGTCGTGGTAATCCTTACATGTAGTCTTCCAAAGGCAAGTTTCGTTTCTGTAACTTTCTATAAAATCTTGAAGTAGTTCGCGGTGTCCAACTCTTTGGTCTTCCGACATGTTTCTGTGAAAGCGATGTACACGTGCGAACACTAGCAAGCTCTGTGAAGTACTGAACGAACTGAGCGATCGCCGTCCACACGCAACGATAAAACTGTGCAAATGTAATCGACAACGATTTATCTGATAGAAATTGCAACTGCTACCGACGAACGATTATCGACAACGATTTTTCATACACTCGATCGATAAAACTGCGCAAACTGGTCTGCACAGATTTATCGCTACGATAAATCGTTACGTATGTATGTATAAGGCTCGTATGTATGAGGCATAAGTTTTTTCCCTACTAAAAGTCGCTCAACGCGCTTCACTTCTAAAATCATATCTCAAGTTCTTCTTGTATTATTTTGTTATTATATTTTGTGCATAGTATAGTTACTTAAGTGTTGTGAGTGACAAATGGACCAAATCGCTTCTAAATGTAATATGCTTATGTTAAAAATATAAAAATTATCAACACCGAGACCAAAATGTAATTCAGTACCTAATATAAGGATTTTTAAACGTCAAACTTTTCTCTCTAAATAATTTTTATCCAAAAATAAAATGTTACACGTGAAAATGAGGTGTCTTATTTCTTAAATATACACTGCTCTGTCATATAATCAAGAACATTTTTATTTTTAATATGATATCCACGTTCTTTTTTATGTCGGTTTAAATTTTATCCAAGTATTAAGAGTTATTTTTTTATTGCATTTTTAAATTTCTCAGTTGTTTTCGTCCGTAACAAGACTGGTAAGCAGCTGGCTATAGTCGGTGGTCACACTTTCTACTGTGGCGTACGCGGGGCCAGGACCAATATCTGGAGATGCACTCGGTGGGGCCAGTGCAAAGCAAGGTTCATCATTACGATGAGTGGGGAGCTCGTAACCGCACAACTTAATCACGCTCACGAACCGCCTTCTTTTGTTATTCATGATGGTATTTATTACAAGATTTAGTTTTCATTTTGGCGTGTAAAAAGTCCTTTGTAAATATAAGGAATCAAAACAATTTAGAAATGATGGTTGTCTTCTAATACATCACTGAGACGTCTATGATAAAACATTGAACCAAAATGCGTTAAAATTTTTCTATGAAATTCTGAAACAGGAGTTGAAAACAAAGAAAAAAAATAATAATTAAGTGATTTTCATATATTCAAATGATGTAAAAGAAAAATTGAAGACATGTTTTTTAACAATGAAAACGAACGTATTATACAAAATGTTGGAAAATATAAAATATTGTGTTGGAATTATCATTTTGTTATTAAAATTTTTCAAATGAAACAATGTCCCCATTTTTACTTCTTTATACCAGTAGGTTTCGATTAATATTTTAATTATTTTTAGTAACTTACCTCCGTAAGCACAACGGAAAACTCATCGCTCTTGTAAATGGATATACATTTTACTACGACGGGCGCAGGAAGACTACTGACGTCTGGCAATGCAGCAAAGGGGGCTCGTGCAGCGCCAGATTCATTACAACTAAATCCAGAGAACTAACACGGTTCAACTTTATCCACAATCACCCCAGACCGCGGTATACCATTCGTGGTGGTGTTTTTCTTAGACTTTAATTTACGCTTTAATAAATTTATCTCTGACAAGATATTTGAAACATATTTTTTATTTAAAAAGTTTTCCCGCACAGTAAACTTTTTTTTACATTGTGGATACATTTTACTTATATAAATTGCACATAAACAAATGTTCAGATCCGAAATAGTTTTTTGGTCATGCAAATATTTACTCGTGTGTGATTAAAACCCCGGACTTGCAGCGCACCGGTTAAAAACTTAGTCATTGCGCTATTAAGCTGTTAATATATCGTCATTGTTCTACATTTTATTGAAACGCATTTTGTCTACCAAGGAGTCCGTCTGGGTGGAGGTACCCTCTTAGTGTAAGAAGTGATCCCCTGAAATTTATTATTTCCTGTATTATTTATTATTTTATTTCAGTTACAATTCTCAAAAAGTTGTTAGCAACGGTAAGAGTTCTCTTCCAAATGGGCGTGCTTCAGGGCTCAATTCTTGGCCCTTTACTGTTATTTGTCTATATTAAAAACTGTCTCGTTGGTATATTGGTAAGCGCGATTGTTTAACATGAGGTCGCGAGTTCGAATCCCGGGTCGGACCAAAATAAGTAATTGGGTTTTTAGTCTAGAAATTCGCAGTAACAACCTAAGATGTTTTTATACGTCTTTGGTAACAACACGGAGTCAGGAAGTAGGCGATCCTGCGCCTGATTTCCGTTTAGTCGTGTCGAATTTTTTTTTATTATTTAAAAATGTTACCCCTACACTATTAAGGTAATTAAGATTTCCTCTTGTATCGTAGGGGCAGTTTAGAAACATAAATTGCACAAGGACAAACATCCAGACCCGAAACAACTATTTGTAGGCCATACAAATACTTGTTCCGTGCGGGATTCGAACCCTCGACTCCCAGCGTAGCCACTCACTGCTAAGCCACTGCGCCACGGAGTCGTCAATTGCCGTTCCATCGGACTATGAGAGTCCGGGTGAGGATGGATGGCTGTTTCTGTACGCACACTCATGTACTCTAATCCTGTCCGGCGCAGACGGCCAGTTTCCTTTGAGAATTATGCCGAGATAGAAATTAGGTCTGGAGGACATTACGAGTATTATGTCAATAACTTTACATAGTATACGATAACCATGATATAGTTATTATTAGCTGATAATAATGCTTCAGTAATTTTCAAACTAAAACGACAATTATTAAAATATAACGAAGTTAATAACGCTCTTTTTAAATCAGTAAATTGGTTTAACGTTGATTGCAAAATTGCATTTAAATGGCATTAAAGATATATATATATATATATATATATATATATATATATATATATATATATATATATATATATATAAAATGCATGACATCTAAATATAACATCTAAATACTCAAGTAATTATTCAATATTTTAGAACCGTCTAAGACGCGAGCCCCTTATGTACTCCAAAATTTCATTAAAATATAAAATCAATGACCTGTCACACACCTACGATAGTTTTTCGTACGGAATTTTGCGGGCAAAACGAGATTCCGTACGTGTGTGGCCGACCCGTTCGTTCCGTTTCGGAATTCCGTATGTAGTACGTGGCGGGCCTTAGTGTGATAGGCTATGCGGCATTAAGCCTTGTACAGACTAAGCGTTCCAATAGTACGGACTAAGCTGAAAATATACGCTTGTGAATTCTGAACCAGCACATCTTATTCTCTTAGTCTTAGTCCTCAGAGGTGACAACTCGTTTGTAGCGTTCTTGGTTTGAAGTCATTTGCAGGTATACATGAGCTGCGGTAGCCTCTTACTGTCCCGTATACTGTAAGTGCATTTGTCAGTTTAGTTTCGTAAAAAATATAATGTATATTATGTAAAAAAAATCTATAAATGACGATTACTTTTACGATTTGACTATTAATCATAATTCTTGTTTATTTGAGAATTTCTACAAATGATGGTCACAATTTATACTATCAAGAACATTTTATACTATCAAGAATAAAGTACCATATTCAGTAATACTATCAATGTACCATGAATAACAAGCTATGGTCGTACATTCAAAACATACATCGATAGGATCTATGATCTACAACTAAAATTCTTAAAACTCATTGTAGATGACAAGGTTAAAAAAATATAAAGAAAATAACTATATTGGTCTTTTTAGATACTGTAACGTTATACCTATAAATAAAAAAAAACTTGAATATCATATCATGATTGAAGATTTTAATACGATTCCTTCACTGAAAATGATAAAATATTGTAATAGAACACGACAAAAAAACCGTAGCAAAAATATTATCAAACAACTTTTATGGAGACAGTCGCGTATATTATTGATCGAAGACAGGCGCACTCTTAATATATTAGCTTCTATTCTTAACGATCTTCAAGAAACAATTAAGAACGAATTTACTGAAACAAACTTTAAAATATTAAATTTAAACATCATATACTAGACAACCTAAATTGTCTTCGAATTTTACAATTACCTCAGTAAAACTTAAAAAAAAAACACACACTAAAAATTAATTGTTAACTAATTATTAAAAATAAATAAATTGCTATAGAAATCAGCCTGTATATGAAAAGTGCACACTAAAAGTAATGAAACCTGTTTGTTGTCATGTAGCTAATACAATTTAGAATGGCTAATTAAATGTTGAATATTATAAGAATGTGTTTGTAAAGTAAGATATGTACTTAGTTGTTATCATACTTAATTTTTTCAATTTTATGATAGTAGGTAGTTATAAAAAATAATATATTAATGCGTGTAGACGTCTGCCAGCACCTATACAAACCGTTTTGCGGTTTAATGGTGCTGTATAGTAACTATGTACTATGGTAATATGTTTTATGAATGGTTGAAATAAAAAAAAATTGTAGGTATATCAATTTAATATTTCAATTTTATTTTAGTGACGTGGACAGTGAACAGCCACGGCAAAGACATGGTGTTGATAAACGGATATAGCTTCTACTGTCATAGAAAGCTCGGCTACACGGATTATTGGTACTGCACCGCGTACTCATCATGCCATGCACGGGTGATATTCTCCAAGAAGAGAGAAGTTCTAAGGGCTTCTCTAAATCACAATCACCTGCCCCGCCAATATGTTATACATAAAGGAATTTACTGCAAAATATAATGCCGATTATAATATGTTTCGACTTCTTCAATGTTGCATAATACGGACCAAGTCGTGTCATTTTGTTATTACGTACTTCGGTTATTTTTTTTTTTTAACTTTTTAAAAGTCTAGCGACCTGGATGGGTACAATGATTGTTTGATCTCATTATATTTATTTTAATTTATATTTTGATGAACGTATTGTTTACAGGTATTTTAATATTACTAAATACAATAATTTCTTTTGCTCAATTGGAAACATGAACCACCGTCATGTTTATTTTCCTACAATAATTTTGTGATGTAATGTCTTATAGATCATGTCATCATGATCATCCTGTTAGCTATCTGTTTGTTTTTAATGCAAATTCGTATGTGCTAATGTTATTGAGAAACTGACATCCAAAATCTCCACAGGCGTTCATTCACATCTTGATCAGTCCGTAAAAATCCATTGTTGGCCATGGGCCTCTCCTGTAGAGACTGCTTACCGTCCCCGGTCTGTATACCGCTAGAAGCCGTTACATCTTTTTCGCATGTCCCATTGTCGCTTCTTACGACACTCACGAGATGAAAAATGATCGATTGTTGATGTCACCACCTCACGACAAAATTTCACATACTCGTTTATAACAATATTGTAGAGAACAGTGCATCTAGTCATCTGCTAATTGGACGATTAATGTATAATGTCCATCCGCTAATTGGATGAATAATTAATATTTATTTATTTCCAAGTCAATCGGATGGAAGTATATATTCATACGATAATTGAACGATTAATTTACTTTTTGCATACGATTATCATGTGATTTATTTATTTTTATTCGTCGGACATATTTAAAATTTAAAAAATAAGTAAGATAGTAAGATATTTGAATAAATATATCTGATAGTTACTGGTATGACTAGGCTATTTGCGTGTTATAAAACATTGCACAAATCTTGCAATATCACTAACTGTAGGTTGAGGTGCTTACATTATAATGATATAATCGTTAATCATAAATAAATTAAAATATAGTATTAAGACAATTATACTTTTTAATTTAAAAAATTATCCGAGGAATAAGTATATATACGAAAATATATTTTTTATTTATATAAAATATTCAAAATAAAATTTATTTTATTTTGCTATATGTACTACTTATTAGAAATTTAATAATATAAACTCTTTATAAAAATATTTTTTATAATAGGCTACATGTATAGCAGGTATAATTTTTATCAGTGTTAATATTTGCAATTATCGTATCG